TATGAATATTACCCACCTTTGCCCTGCAGCAGGCATGCAGCTCCTCCATGGAGTCCAATGAGGGGCTCCTATGCATGTCTGGAGACAGAGGTCACCCCCCTCCAAGCCAGACCCCTAGGAGATGCATAGGTCTCCATGTGGCCCATTAGGGAATTTGAAGTCAGGCTACAGCTTCTGTCTGCTCAAACGCCAACTGCTTGATGAGCTTGGCCTCTTTGCAGGCCTTCCAAGCTGGCTGGCACAAGCCTAGTCTCGCAGCAGCTGCCTAATGGTTATAGCAGATGCTGGTGGGCCTTGATAACCTGGGTTCAAGGGGCGCCATAGCTTCTGGAAGCTGTAACATCCCCCAGCAGCATTGTGGAGGGGTCTGCATGCATATATTTTACCCAAAGACTATTTAACACTGGGTGGATGACCAACCCTTGCAAGCCACGGCACGATCTTCCCCGCACTGTGGGCTTTTGCCCGGTGACACTGCATCAGGGCACACTTGAGGGTGTCACTGGCTTGTCATGTATGCCGTGACCTGCAAACACATGGGTCACTGTGTCTTAGTGTGCCCAACATGGCTAAGCTGGGGTGTGAGCAGTGACACAGGGGCTGTGATTTCCAGGGGTGGCAGATTTGCCAGCGCTAGTTAGTGGGGCAGGGTGGGATAGTGACGGAGGGCTGCAGAGGACTGAGCACTATAGACAAGGGATTTGGCTTTCTAAACACATTAACCTTGAGGTTTGCTGCAATCACCTCCCTCTGGCTTCCTTTTCCTTGCTCCTAGCACAGGCACAACCCTTCCTCTTAGGGACCCAGGGGTGTCTTCCCAGAGTCTGCTTCTGCCTGAAGACCTGTCATTTGTAGGCTTTGCAACCACTGCTCTCTGGCCATCTCTTCCAGGCCCTGCCAGGAGCGTGTTTCAAGTGGGTCGAGACATCTGTGCTCTGCTCCTGGGGCTGCTGGTGCAGTTTTCCCCCAATGTCTCTTCAACACAAAACACACAGTGGCACCAAGGCCTCACTGTTGCTCGTGGCTGAGGCAGTATCCACCTCTGAGAGCTACAGCAAGGGTCTGCCACTGCCCTGGTCTCCTACCTCCAAGATATTTTTCCTCTCCTGGCTGCTCAGTATCTTAGCTTTCACCAGAAGGCACTCTCAGCCTGACTTTGTCTGTGGCCCTGTAATTAAGCTGCTGCCCTATGATCAAAAAGGTTCAAATCCCTACTTCTCCTTCCAAAGGGAAATCTAGTTGAGGATGATGGAGTTGGGGCTGGTCCTGCTTAGAGCAGGGGGTTAGATTAGATGTGACCTTCTGAGGTCCCTTCAACCCTCATTTTCTATGGGTGTGTCTACATGTGACACTTTAATGCATGTTAGCCTAAGTTACTGTGCATTAAGGGTCTGTGTCTGCATGTGCGTGCCTGTAGTGTGCATTAAAAATGGCAAATTTAGGTGTGAATAGTTAAAGTGCATTAATGCTGTGTGTGTGTGGACTGACCTGGGACTAACTTTAGTCCCAAGTCAGTCCACACACATCATTAATACGCTTTAACACCTGCACGTGTAGATGCCTGCAATGATTGTGAATGATCCTAGGGCCCCGGTCTCCCCTAACCTGAGTAGGTCCTTTAACAACTTGGCCTGCAAGCATTAGAGAGCTGCTAGTCATGGGCTTTGGTTGCCAGTAACTTTGGGGGTTTATATTTGCGCAGCCCCCCTGCCCCAGGTCTGATAGCAGAGCAAAACTGGACTTGAGGCCTCTAGCACAGCACTACTGAGCACGTGCACTAGGAACAAATTCAGCTCCATAGAGCAGAACTGCAGCTATGCAAGGCATTTAGCTGTGTCCGTGCCCTTCAGGCCAGTACATGGGGTCAAACAGGGTGCCACTGGGCGACGTAGATGCCTAACAAGAGCACAAGTCTTAGCAGGGAAAGGGACATTGGCGTCCAGGCTACAAGGGCTGAGAAAAAGGCCCAGAAATAGGGGAGGTTTTGGAAAGCTCGGTAGGCATGCGCTGTGTGGTGTGGGGAGACTCCTCCTTGCACTGATCTTAAATAAAACAGGGAAAGTTTCAGGCAAAAAAAAGCTCCCTTTATTTATTTAGAAGCCCTTGATACCATTGCTGGCAATGAAGGATGTCACTCATACAGATGACAAGAGCCAGCCCCGTCCTCACCTTGCAGACCCTGTAGTGAGATCTAAGCTGGCATGGGGAGCATCCCTAGCCCCTCACAGCCATCCCCACCAGCCCAGCCTGGCCTCAGGGCTCATGCTTTTCTTCAGGTAATACAAGTAACCTATTTTAAAGCTTGCTGATGGATCTTCTCCTAGCAGGGGGTCTTCGTGCAGGGATGTGCCTATGGGGTCGATAGAGGGTTTGTTGGAGTCGCTGTTGTGCCTGTGAACTCATCCCACCCAGCTTCCTGAGACCTGCCCCGAAGTAACAGTTTGATGAAGATATTTTCACTGGATTCAAGGGTAAGGAAGGGTCCCAGCTGTGTGGTTTTTGGGGAAGGCTGTGCACCATGACAGCTGGCTTAAAAACCCTGGAACCAATCGCAGGCCAGATACACACGTGGCCTGTGTTTTCTGAGAGGCTGAGCACTGCTACATCTCATTGGTTGCAATGAGAGCTGCCAGGGCTCAGCATCCTGGAGAAACAAGCCATCCGAGCCAGCTTAGCCAGCAAAAAAAACACCCCTCATCCATCTGGGGTTGTGCTTTCCAAACATACAGCCATCTACATGTTGTAGATGCAACCAGTTGCAGCTTTAGTGTTCTTTTAACCAAGATTTATGATCATTATTATTACTTTTTCTTTTCTTATCAGTAAAGGTTTGATCTGCTGTTGCATGCAGATCCTCGGGTAAACTTGACCCCACTCAGATGCGGGCTGTAGGGCGTACCCGTACTAGACCCAGGTTGCACACAGGTAACACTTGTCTGGTTGGTGACAGAGGTTTAATGTGAAGAAAACCTGGCAGAATGGAAACCCCTTATGCAAGCCTGTATCTGGCTCATAGGGAAGACGGTTCGACTTGTGATTTTATCAGTGGGCTGCGACTCGGGACAGCGAGATTCACTTCTTGACTCTGTCAGTCTTCCCCTGCGATGACAGACAAGTTACTTAAGGACTGGCCTCACTCTAAAACCAGCGGCAAAGACCCCATTCACTTCTACATGTTGGCCCTGCTGTCATTTATGATCTCCTTGTACTTCAGCTAGAAGAGAGGTTACACTTTTTTTTTTTAATCCCACACTTTGCCAATATTGTCTGTTTAGACTGCAAGCACTTTGGAGTTGAGATAGCTCCTAGCTCTGTTGCTATTGTACAGTAACTATACCAATCACGTTCTGGACGTCTCGGCATTATTGTGATACCGCGATGGATATAAAACCATGACACATGGGGGCTGCTGGCCAGCAGAAGCAGATAAATAAATACACGACGAGGAGCTGTTTTCACAGACAGGAAGTAACTTTAATTAAATATTGTGAAAGTTGAAAAGTTTTTACAGCTTGAATTTCTGCAAAAAAATTATAACAATCTCTACAGTAGTTAGTTTCTCTAACAATAGAACTGTACAGTGTGTGTGTCTATTCAAAAAGATTTAGATAAGAAGGTGAAAGGTTAGCAGTTTCAGAGATGACTTCATTTTAGCGGCATCCTAGTACAACTGTGAGGAAATAGGTATACTTTATGCACTCCAGTCATTGTGAAGCTTCACCTTTTAAAACTGAAATCTTGAACGTTTCCACTTAAAGCCATATTCTGTAAAGAGCGGCATCTTTTACTTTGTAAAAGATCGAGGGCCTTTTGCAGGGGGATTTTTTTTTTAATAAATTCCCTTTTATCAGATCACTATAAATAGCTGCGACAAAACAAATTATACACATTGTCAAAGGATCTTTGGACTGTGAAGTAAAGGGCTACGAATGTAGATGGCTAACATGGGTGTCTAAACAGCTACAACTCAGAATGGATCCTACAAGAGCAATCAAGGGTGTCACTGGACAAAATATGGCTTTAAATTTGATTACATTGCCGTGCGGTTGCTTACTATGTGAATTAGAATAACTGTTTGGAATACAGAGAAGCAATACACTGATGTCTCTCACATTTTTCCAGTTTTTTTTTTCCCCTTTTATTTTCTCGCCACGAAAAAAAAAAATGTTGTTTTCTTCCCTTCCCCGAAAAAAGATCACACTGTGACATTCTAGTGAAAACCATTGCAAAATTCATACAGGAAGCATGCACAGTTGCAGCATCGTTGTAAATGATTTCTTGCTTGACTAGAAAAAAGTTATATTGTCTTAAGGTAACAAAACAGTTCTTTTGTGCTTTTCAAATCCTTTTTTTCTTAGAATGTTAGTGATGATTGACAGTTCTGGTGCACAGTACAATGTACAAGTGAAATGAATATGATTTGCATTGTTAAGGCATCCAATCTGCTGGTTTATATTTATGTGAAAGACAGAGAAATATACAAGCAGACTTAAGAAAGAAAGTATTTTCATTGAGTTTTATGAAGTTTCTCCCCATATTTAATGCACAAAAATGCGTCACTCCAAAGAGGAGAGATCCCATGCATATTAAGAGTAAAACAGCATTAGTTTTTGTTAAGCCTCAAAAGCAAAGGATACATTTTTAAAATCTACATAACTAAATGCTACAAGAATAATATGCTACTTTTTGCCATATATTGGAAAAAACTTCTTAACTTACAAATAATACAAAAATAGACGATGGCTTTTGGGTGGAAATAAAAAAATGGAAGCATGGTTTTAAAACAATACTAAAAAAACCCAAAAAAACCTAGAAATGAAATGTTTTAAAATCACATTTAAACAGCTAATACAACGGTGAGCGACCAAACAAATCAGCACTTTTCACATAGCAAACATACACAATAAAATAAACTGGGGATGGGAAAAAAAGCAATGTACAAATTCCAAAGATAAATACATTATTTATATGGATATTTTACAAAATCCCCTTTAAAACAAAAAAACAAAACAAAACAAAAAAAGCTTTTTTTTTTCTTTAATTAATTTTGCAAGTATGTGCAAGCTAAAGGTAGTGAGCTCTTTTTGCAAAATATGCAGTAAAATTCTTTTTTTTGTGATATTGAAAAACTGTCTTAAGACATTAAAATGTATAAATAGAACAACAACTTTGGCAAAAAATCACAAAAAATCTACATTATTTATAACTACATACAAAACACAACAGCAAAGAAAAAAATATCAGGTAATGCATCTTCAGAGCTTTGCTGCCTCTTTGACTAATATTTTTAAGAACACTTCCCAGATAATGATAGCAAAATTCCTGTATTTATGGTTTTGACTTGAGACCTTCGTAAGAGCCCCCTCTGCCCCCCAAATTCATGTTCAATTCACTTACTGTTCAAAAGCAGTTACCTGTTGCTTAATAGATTATGTTACAAACTGAGCGGGTCGACTGATACGGCAAGGATCCTAGCGGGAGGCTGTCGAGAAGGGGCGTGCTTCTGGAGCCTTTATGGGAATGCGGGATCGCAGACGAGCTGAACCTCGTTTTGCCCCAGACAAACAACCGGGCTACAGCAAAAGGAAAACGAGTCCGAAAACGCCCAAATGCAAGGATGGCCCGAGTCCGTGTCTTCAGATTGCTATGCAAAGATGAGGCGAGATTGGGATGCGCAGTTCAGGTTACGCTAAACTCAAAGGAGGCCGCTCATTTGGACAGATCCTGATATAAGCTAAATGGAGAGCATGCTTGTTTAATTCTGCAGCTTTAGCATTATATCCAGAGGCACTGGGTTTCAGGGTCTGAAGGGGATTGCTTTTGCTATTCACGTCCTTGGCTATGCTTTCCCCAACGTTGCTTGTCACATTATTTACAATATGAAAGACAGAGATTACAATTTTCCCCCCTTGCCCCACCTGACCGGATACCTAGTGAACGGTATCTCGAAGTGAAAAATGTATCCCGTTAGCAAGCCGCCCCTGGATGAGCCACCGGTACGAGCCGACCCCTCGTTAAATAGCCATTACTCCTCTAAGAAAACTAACTGGCACTTCTATGCTGTCCCATACAGAGTTGTTATAAATGTTACCACTTCGTTTCCCTTTCCACCGCTTGAAAACAAAAAAGTCATAAATTAAAAACCTGGAGTTTCATCTCTAGTGTCCCTTTGTAATGGTGAGATTTATAAAAGACAAATGGCTGTTGACTTAAATCAAGCTTTAAAAACAAAAAACAAAACCAAAAAGTGGATTTTTGTTTCCATCAACACAGAATAAATAGCTCCCCCAAGTACTTGGGATGGACAACTGGAATCAACACCTTGCAATTGCAGATTCTTTGCTAATTTCAGGATTTGCAAGGATGGTGATTTTTGTTTTGTTTTGTTTAAAAATCTGCAGTTATTGTAAGATTCCTCTTTATTTTATTTTTATTTTTTAAAAAGGCCTGAGTAAAAAGTTCCACTCGGGGACTTGTATCAGATTTCTCTCTGAAGCAGAATCCAACCTCTTCATTAATAAAATTCTTCAAGGCAATTCTTTCACATGGGAGGAACAATCATGCCAGATATAGCTGTGGTGAGGAAGGGAGAGGAAGAAAAAAAACACGAAGGAAAAAAGTGACTTTTGTGCATCACGACACCAGTTCACCAAATAAACACACTGTTTTTACACATTTACGAGCCACGTTCTCATCTGAACGGTGAGCTGAACTCACGCACAAGTATCATACTGTACATGCAACAACACACACATATAACACACGAGCCCTGATCCTGCTCTCACTTACACTGGTGGAAATCTGGAATAAATGCTGGATTTTCCAGCGTAAGCAACCAAGAAAAGAATGGGGCCCTTCCTTCCTTCTCAGCTCTTAGATGCAGAGTTTGAGTGCTGATGGCAAAGCTCAGGAAGCCTAAACTTTGGAAAATACTGGGAGATTTTTCTAAATTCTGCTTGGGTTTTTTTGCTTTAGGAACAGATATTTGTTGTGTGGGCGGACGTCTGGCATCCCATAAACCAAGAGCGTTTATAAAAGCTGTTATCATGCATTTATTACACTATGGACACTGATGCACTATATTCTCCTCTTAACCCAGCTTCCTCCCACTGTATCAGCTGCATGTTCAAGCCTGGGAGTTGTGCATGTGTTTCCTTGGGGCCTGGGAGCAACGTCAGCCCACAGACCCAAGGAAGCCCCTCGTTCAATCTGCGACCCATCCTCCACCTCTGTGTGGGTATGCACTATGCATGGCTTCAGCCTGTGGTCTCCCCGTGTCTTCGGAGGCAAATTAAGAGCCGAGTGTTAGCCTCAACTTAGAATTTCCTCTTGCTTGTGGCTTGAAGTTGAATCAATAATATTACTTTAATATTCTTTCTAGTCTAATTTCCGAAGTGTTTACAGGCCTTCTTAAAAGGGAAGGTGTTTTGAGAAGAGCTATAGCTACAGATAAAAAACACAGACTCCTACACATCTTCACTTCCAGCTTTGTCTGCTGTTGTTAACCAGAGCCCACACCTCATCTGGCCAGCTGGACCGAGCACAGATGCACCCGGTGGACAGCGCAAGTATGCCTAGCATTACAGGAGGTAGCTACTTAACTGCATGGCAAAAGTTATAACAAGCCTGAATCTTTAAAATGTCAGTGGCATGGGTTATTTGCAACGGGATATAAAATGCATACTAGACTTCAGGGTGGCTGCACTTCATGGGCACATGATTTAAACACCAGAGCTGCCTGCCATCTCAGACATCTGGGCAAGTGATTTCTTAAGGAAGAACTCAGCCCTGGGACTGGTTCTAATTCATTGTGCTTTAATTACAGCTGCAATCATTTGATAAGAACTGAGCCAAAGTGAAAGACTCACAGATTTGGGGTTGGGGGGGGGAATGTTTTCTCCACAAACACCACCATATGTGCAAGAATTACAAGTCTAATCAGCAAGGGGAAAGCAGCTCGGGTAAACTGCATTGATTAAATGAAATAAAATGAGAGGAGAAGGCAAGAATGCAAAATGCATCCATGTGTTTGCAGGAGAGGTGACATATTGCAACCCTACAATAACACCCGATCACTGCAATGGGCACTTTGGTAGGGGCTGAGGTTATATTTGGGACCATTTTGAATGATGGGGTTTCCAAACATAAAATTGCAGACAGACCACGGTCTTATCTCATTTATGTTTTTTTGAACTTTGGGTGGCATGACAATTAGAGAAACGGGGAAGGTGGGGAATCTAGTCAAATGCTACGGCTCAAGTCGTTTCCTTGGTACGTGTAAGGGGAGGAGGCAGACATCTCAAATTAGAAAGTGCCAAAGGAATAATGGTGGGCATTTATACCTGGGCCTATCCAAGAGCCCCAGTGGTAGAGCTTTGCTTTGCTTTTCTAGTGTTTTTTATACCATGTTCATCATCATATCTGAGCATTTTGCAACCATGTATTAAGGAACATGACTACCAGCTATCGCCCCCCAGCCTTATCCCCACCTCCCAGAGAAGTCCCTTCAATGAAGGCGAAGACATGCTCAGGAAGGGGTGAAGCAGGTATGAGGGCTACCAGGTTATTGTCACAATTGATGGGGATAATATATGACATCTAGGTGGATCTGGGGGAGGCCAGACCACTCGCAACTGCTCCTGGTCTGCTGGAGAGGAAAAGCTGACTAACCTCCCTTCCAAAGGCATCCCATTTGTAGGGACAATTTGGGTCTAAAGTCACACATATCGGAAGATGCTAGGAACTATTCTTAGCTTTCACCAGACAGGGCTACAAGGCAGGGGTGAGAGCAGCCTTGCGGTAGACTGTTACTCCTCTGCCTCTACAAGGGGCAAGATATGGAGGGAAAGGGAAGGGCAACTGGCGAAGTCGTGATTTTGATCCCTGTCCTGCAGCACAGCGAGCGCAGCCGAGCTGGTGCAAGAAGGGGGTTGGTGGTGTCAGGTGCGGGTCCGCTGCACGGCGTCTCTTCCCCAAAGCAAACAAGGAGCCCAGGGACAACCCCGCGACTCCCCTGTGGGGCCGGGCAGGAAGCAGCTCTCCAACCCCAAGAACAAGTTCTGGGTTTTCCCATCCCAAATTGAGATAAAAATTCAAAATTTAGAGAAAAAAAAATCACAAAACCAAAATCCAACTCAAAACCTCACCACTGGGTGTAATCAAAATGCTTCATTTAGATCCCTTCCAAATATTCCAGCTGGATTTTAATTTTCCTCTTTTTTATTTTTTTAAAACTTTTTAATCTAAAGGTATCGACATTTTAAAACTTCAGACCCAGAAAAGAAAGCTAATTTGTTTTTCAGTTTAGAAAGTACATAACCTCCCCTCCCTCCTTCCCCTCCAATCATTCCTCAAGTCTGGAGATGTGTCCAAACCGAGCTCGAATGCTGGAGGTCAGCCTTCTCCTGGGGCAGCGGGACAGGGTTTGTGCACATCTCCTTGCAAAGGACTGCCATGGCTCTTTCTTTTTACTCTTCATGGTAAGGATGACCATGGTCTGCAAGAGACTTGCCAAGGAGGTGGTGCGGTCCCCAACCTTGAAAGTCTTCAAGAGGAGACTGCACAGGCGCCTTGCTGGGATCGTTTGGGTGGTATTCCTGCCCAGAACAGGAGGGTTGGACTCGATGATCCCTCAGGGTCCCCTCCAGCCCTTCACGTCTATGATTTCTCTGAGTCCAGGCTCAAACCTCCCATCACCAAAGACCCCACCCTGGTTCCTGACGTTTTAACATTGCCTCTTGGATAAATGCAAGAGAGGCACCTGGCACCACTGGAAGCAACATGGCGCGGAGGTACATCACGAGTAAGTTTTTAAGGAGCTGGTATTATTATTACCATCGAACTCTGCTAGTCTGAATTAAATTACAAGTCAAATGGCAAAATGACATCTCTTCTGCCTAAAAGCCTTGGTATTTCCATTCTGCCAAGTCCTCACTTAGATCCTGCTACTTTTGTTCCCTAAGTGCTCCGTCTATAGGGTCATGCACAGTCTCTGTGCTGCGGCATGCTATTGATTCTGAAAAGGGAGATATCAGAGGGAAATATTGTAGGCATGAGATCACAGCTCCTCCGAAAAGGGAAGCGCAGGGGGAGAGAGGGCAAGGAAAACCTTCCATCAATGGGTATTATTTCTCTCATCACATGCTAATTTGTATTTGCTGCCAGCAAATTACACAAATAATGTATTTCAAGTTTTACAAAATTGCATGGCAAAGAGAACAACAGATAAGCATGGCTGTTGTTCTAGTGAGTTCTGCTGATATCTGAGCTACATAAGCAAAGCTTGATTGCTTTCTGATGTAACCAGAAGCCCAAGAGAGATAAGACAGCCTCCTTATACATGATTGTTTATTTAAGCACTAAGACACAACAGGCAGCGCATTTTGGAGTGCTTATTGCATGCCTCGGGTAGTGTCAGAAGGTACGGGGCTAAAGGCTGCGTGTCGAACTCACCACGAAGTTCAGCAGTGCCCTACAAATGAACCGTCTCTCGGCGTCTCGCTCCCTATTATGAAACCGAATTGCTCAATAAAAATTAGGGGGAACGCTGAGATCAGTGTGTTTTCTGGGCATTGCAAATCTGGATGCGACATAACGAGCAGGCAAGTGGCGACTGCGACCAGCGCTCGACCGTCACTCCATAATTGCTTTCCATCACACGGCGTATGAACGCTGGAACGCCACAGCTGGCAAAATGAAAAGCCTTCTCCCATTGCTGCCTTGCTTTCCCCCACCCTGCTCCAGAGAGTGGCAAGGGGAGGGGAGGAGATGGAAGAAACACAAATATGCTGAAAAGGTAAAAGTAGGCAAGTCTTAGCTCTCGGTATTATTCAGGAGACTAAATCATTCGAGCTGCACAGAAACACTGTTTAAAGCTGCCACGCTATGGCAAGGTTGGATGTTTTAAAACATACCACACTTCCTGCACATCTAGGTCCAGCTGTTGTAGAAACCTCACTGTGCTTTGTTTCTGGCACCCGACCTGTATTTGAGGAGGCTTTGCAGGGACATCTCCTATTCTTGAATTCCAGCCTGATTACAATTTATTGTAGTGGAAGTCTTCATACCTCTCATTTACTAGCCTGAAGTGCACTGAGCACAATCTGTAGTGGTAACAGATTCCCGTTTTTATGAATGAACCTTTTCCACTCCGCACGCGCAGGGAGCCCATTGAATGACTCGACCTTGGCTATGGCCGGGAGTCTGGCTTCCTCCTCCGGTGGACGATGGACCACGCAGATTTTTTGGAGCATTACATGCATGTTTGGAAGAGCAACTTCCTACCGAAAGGGCCTTAGCGATGAAAGGGCTCAGAGCTCCTTACACAACTTGTGTGGGCACATGGGAAGGAAAACAGACCTCAAACACAACACGCATCACAAAACCTTTCCACCTCTAGCACAATTCGAGGCAGCTGGCTGCATCTGCTCCTGGAAATTCCCCCAATTAAGTGAGCCTGAAAATGTGTGTCTCTCTCAGGGCACGACAGTGCAGGAGCGCGGGAATTATAAAGGAGGGTTTTTAGGGTGCAAAACAGGCTGAACCAAACAACGAAGCAGACACTTGTGTTCTTTGCAGAGTCCCCGGCTCTGACTGGCTTAATCTCTTGTTCACCAGCTTGCAACAGCTCTCCAAGACATACTTCAGTAAAACAACAGGAATATTTTTGAATCAGAGGGGAAGGGACACTGGAAAGAAGCAGCTCCCTTATTAAGAACAGCTGAAGAGGCTTTCAGAGGGACAGTCCACCACTTAGGAGATTAACTGGCTTACAGACAGTACATTAATCACTCCTAGCTAATGTTTGCCCCAGTACAAACTAAGTTGGGAAATGCTCTTATTAGTTTGGAATATGCCTTATATATTTACTCGAGGCAAAAGGCTCGAGCCAAGCTTTGCAACTCTCTGCCATGACACACTAGAGCTCTTGTGGAGCCAGTCGGTTTTCTGCACAACTGTACTATGACAAAGGAAAAACAAAAACCAAAAAAAAGAAAGAAAAGGAAGGGAAGATTGAGTGACGTACTTCAGGAGAAGGCCAGCCCCTGGAGAGACCCTGCATTGGAGTACTTGCTAGAGTCCACAAAAGACTGGTCTGATAATGGACGACCACAGGGAATAAGAAAGGAAAGAAAGAAAAAGGATGGTATTAGTAAGCTGAAATATTACTCGTTTCTTTTTTTTTTTTATCAAAACACTAGATCTGCGGTCTAAGAGCCACAGGATCTCAATGCAGCAGTATTAGTATTGTTAGAAAGAAAGAGAGAGTGTGTGTGTGGGGAGGGGGGCCGGACATCTGCAAGGCATGGAGGGAATGGGCCGAATCCAGGCACTTTGCAGGAGGGAAGGAGAGGACAGAGACGGCCGGCCAGCCCCATCCCCCTGGACAACAGCTCATGGCACGGCGGGTTGCTCACGGCACCAAGAGCAGCCATCTCCATGGCCATGGAGGTTTGGACCTACCTTGCAGGCTATTCCCATTGGTGCTGGTGCAGGTGGGAGGAGGGGAAGTTTGTGGTCTCACGACAGGGGCGAAAGCGCTCTTCTGTTTCACCGCTGAGACCATGTTGGCTGGTGAGAAGGAGAAGATCCCAGAGGAACTGCTACAGTTGGAGGGGAGGCTAGTGGAGGAAGCCATGGTTGGACTGGACGGCACAACTAGAGGTAGAAAGACCAAGAGCAGACAGTTCTTACTACGAGGTTGCAAGCAGGCACTAGAAATACAACACTCCTGGGTCTGGGGTGAATAAGGCCTGCATTCAAAAGGCTGCCAAATGGGAACATCTCCCCTTGATTTCAAAGAGTCAGGAGAAACCAGGTCCATGGTGCACAGCCATCACCAGTGGGAAACTCCTTCACCCGGCTGATGCGTAATTGCTCACGACTCGCGGTTCTTGGTGCTGTTATAGACTCACCCCCTTTTTTTTTTTTGCCAGTACCTTCTTGCACTTTAAAATACTCGTTTAGATGACCTTAACGATTGGCATCAGCAGCTGCTCATGTTGGTACCTGGAAAATCTCAGCTGAGGTTGGGAAGGGGGAGAGGAAAGGCAGTGGCGCAGGATCGGTTGCAGGTCACAGCACTGAAGGGCGAGTGCCATGTTTAAAGAGCAAACCTGGCTCTGGAGCACGATTTGGAAAAGCCCTGGGTAGCGGTGCCAGCCTTCCTGGCAACGCTTGTGTGCAGGGAACGGGCCTGCACGGTTTTGCACAAACCCACAGAAGGTCAAGGCTCTCGACTCTGCACCCAGACGACTTTCGTCCAGATTCAGCGGCATGGCACAAGCCAGTTTTTCTTTTCTTAACCTTTCACTCGCATTGCGGAGGTTGGGGCTGAACGAGAGCTAGCACGAGACAGGAGAGGAACTCCACAGAAAGGAGTCCCTCGGCTTTCACGCTGGTCTCTGGCTCAGGAGGGGCAGGCACGGGTCCTCTGAAGTTGCAAAAAGTGACTTTCAGCAGACTGTGAAAAACAGCCCAGCTGTAAGCAGCCAAAGTTGCTATCCCGCAAGACAGCCGCTACGGCAGCATGGTTTGTTGGACATGTTCCCTTCTCCTCGTGCCTGGAAATCCTACTTCCCAGATACCTCCTTTCCATTTCCAGTGAGCAAACTCACCCTCTCCTATTCCCTCTTTTTCTTAAACCTGAAATCAGGGTAGTTTCTAGCATCAAAGTGTCTCCCAGCTTTGGAAAGGCTCCTTCCACGAGGACCTCCCGTGTCCCCGAGTTGTGTCGCTCCTATTCGGTCTCTACCCTGGTGTGTGGCAGGAGCAAGGTGAGAGGGCAAAGTGTAAAGGGGAAGGGAGTGGGGGTAACACTGGTGAATATATTTTGCCTAATACTTAAAATATTTAAAGCAGAAACCTGGTTTTATGTTGATCAAGTAAAGCAACCCCCTGGAAGGATCTGGTGGGAGCACAGTCTGGACACGCCGCTTTCTACATTGTCCTTCAAAGCCAGGGGCCACATCCTTCACTGGTATACATGACTGCACCTTCATTGCTTCCGGGGGAGCTATCCTGATTTACATCGAGGGAAGACCAGGCGACGCACCTGGCAGGCCAGTAGGAAATGCACTGGTTTCTTCAGGCTTTGTAAAGTTTTAAACACTGTTGTTTTTTAAACGAGGGCCACCATTTTACCTCTCTCAGATCAATTTTATATGCTAAGATTGGCTAATTAACACGGACTGTTCCAACTGCAAAGCCGCCACACAGGAGGTTTGATTTTTGAACGCACGTATGCTTGAAATCCTGCTGTTTCCTATATAATGCAATTAAAGTCTTTACTTCATGCATTTATCAAGCAGGTTTGGAGCAAGTGTGCTTCCCTAAAAACACAGCCAGAGCGCTGCGTATCACAGCCTTGCTGCTCCCCACCTGGCTCCGGAGAGCAGAAGGACCCACCAGCATTAGGAGGCTCTCATTTTATTTCTGATTTTGTTTAGAAACTGTTTACGTATGCGAGCGGCTTATGAATAATTAAATACCACAGGAAGAAATTTCTAATCAGCTGAGCTTTGGCTTATTATTTTATTTGCATTTATGCTGATAAAAATCCTCCCATTTGAGTCCATGGGCAAGAATCTGATATCATATTTGCTAACGCGGAGGAAATCAATTAATGAAAACGAAACGTTCAGAGTTTCACAGTCTGACAGATAGAATCTGAGTCTGAAGTCACTCGGCATCGGCAAGGACTTGTTAAGGGAGAGCAATCAAAGCACCTAAATTGAATTGCTACTATACAGCAATTAGTTTATTGATTTAATTAAGAATGCCACCTTTTAATTTTCAGGTCATGATTGAAACATTTTCTGATTGAATGGATTAGGTATTAGCAGAATGACAGATCTACCAAGAAAGCCTCCCCAAATAGAAATAGCAAAGGCTGAGAAGCCGACTGTTATTCTAAAGATGTTTTCGTTCATAAATATGAAATAACACATTGCTGGAGTGCTCTAAATGCATTGCAGGCATCTGCTTCCAAAAAGAGACGTCTCATCAATCATGTTAGATTATGAATTCAGAGAGCAGGGATTCTGTGATAGTAAACTCAGCTTAATAAGTAAGATCGTTTGTAACATTAATGATTACTCTGTTATTAAGGTAGAAAGTAATGACAGGCTGGAGATTCCCAAGTTAGAAAATACCGTGTGTGTGGGTGCAGCATTTCCCCTAAATATTGGCAAGCTAGCAGCTATGGGCATTATTTGCAAATGAAATCATTAACGGTCTCATTTCATTTCTGCAGTTCAACAGAATTAACTGCTTTTATGAAGTCACGGTAGCTGTAGAAAGGCATGCCTTGATATAGCTCACAGTTCATATACCCAGTACATATTAGGATCCGTTCCCAGCAAAACTCATGGGCCTGATTCTTCCATTAGTTTTTGCACTGGCATTAAAATTGCTGGAACTACTCTTAGGAGATGCCACTAGTCAGTATGAGTAGAAAAGGTCGAAGGTCCCAGGAAGATCCCAGTAGTTTCAGCTCCTCGCATAAATAAGGATTATTCAGATTGGTATATTTTCAGGCTCCGGCCCATTGTCCCTGAGTTTGCAAGCATTTACATACATGCTTAAGCGTACACAGGTTAGCAGTCCTTTTCAATCCACGGAGTACATAAAGTTTATCCTGCACATGAATGTTTGCTGGATGGGGACCCTAGACTGCAACCTCTTCAGGACAGCTAAATCTGCTTTCCCTTGGTTTGTCTCTTTGTGGCTCTTTATAAATGCTAAATAAAAGCAAGCCAAATGCTGAGACCCTTGTTTAAATTCTTCACAGTCCGAACTCCCAACAAAGCAAGATAGGACTGAAAAATGAAACAGTACTGAGACCTCAAGATTTAGCCCCATAACAATTCCTAATTGCTTCAAGCGAAATTACCATATTATTTCCACAGATCCCTCAAAACCATCCTAAGGGCATGCTTGTGAGAACATCAGCCCTCACCAAAATTGCAGCAACTTCTTTTCCTTATCTTGATACCTGATGGTTGTGCTTCATTTCAAAACTTCTCCCCCCAGTAACAAGAGATGGTCACAAGCGTTCACAAAACCCAAGATTAAGTACTTTACATGACCCTCGCTGTGCAGAATTGGCAGTGCATCAGACCCTGCATCTGATTTACACCATGCAAGAAAAGTTATGAAACTATCAACCCCAATCATGGGCAAGATTATCCTTTTTCTGCTCTGCATGACTGTCTCCAAGAAATAATTGTGGCATAGAGTTTTTATGTCTAAGCACTTATGTCTTTAAAGTGCTCCAAAGGTCAGTGCCTTAGGGACAAGAGAAAAGTCCAGGCTCAGATTCAGGTGCTCAAAATAGAAGTTAAATATCGAGTGGCACAGAAAAGTCTCCGCATCCTTCTAATGGAAATGTGCAAAATGCCCAAGCGCTATGTAATACTCACTGGCGTAGGGAGAGTTGGCAGCAGACCCATTCAGGAAGGTTGGAGAACCGCCTAAATTTGACATTCCGGCATTCCCGTAGCCATTCATGCTCGTGGTGACTGAGTTGTAGTTTGTCTGCTGAGGGGTGGTGCTTGGCACGTACCCGTGCGGTGACACGCTGCTCGAGTTGCGAGTAAAACCTTTGGGAAGGAAGGAATACATTCAAAGATTGGGCGTAACACAAGAAGTGACTCTGAATGAGCAGCGAACAAAAGCCTGGCCTCCTCGCCTAAGACAACTGGTAGAAGCAACAATAGCACTTACTCTTGAGGGCCCATCAGTGGGAAATTGGAGATGGACTAAATCAGCGTGCACGTTTGTCCTAAGTTTTCAAAGTGACTAGTGCTTTTGGATGCTCAAGTAGAGACATATTAATATAGCGTATAGTAATATAGTGTATTAATATAGTGATGTAGTAAAAGAAAGCAATTTTAAGACGAAATTATACACTATGTTACTATGTCTCAAGAAGTACCGAGTAGTCACTTTGGGGGTGAGGATTGTAGCCGTCTTGGTCTAAGGACATTGGCAGACCAGGTGCTTTGGGTAAACGTGATCTCTTTTATTAGACCCTCTAAATGGTTGGAAAAACTATTCTTTACAAGCTTTTGGGCACAAACACCTCAGGCATAGGGCGAGTCTGCTAGTGTTTGTGTGTGCACGTTACCTGTGGGTGCACATTTCTCACAAGGCAACCACTGTCTCCAGTCTCTCAGCTGTAATCCTCAAAGAGAATTTACAAAACACCTTTCACAGACGAGCCTACAAACTTCACTGCATAAATCTAGTGGATGCAAATTATCATGGAATAAAGATAGACATTGGATTTACAGCACATTACAACTTGCCTGCCATCTGATAACCCCAGGTAACCTCTCTACATTTTACCACCTACATTTTACCACCAGTCAACATCCCCTTCTTTTGTGGGGGGGGGTTTCTACCCCCCCCATCCTACCTACCTGTCTGACACCCCTTAACTCCCATCCTCTCTGATCTTCCCTGCCATGCATTTGCATTTTCACAGACCTGCATTTTGCATATTGGCTTAAACATCTCTTCCACCTGAAAGAGCACACAAACACCAGCAGACTCTCCCTATGCCTGAAGAACTGTGTTCGTACAAAAAGCTTACAAAGAACATTTTTTCCAACCATTTAATGGGTCTCATAAAATGTATCACATTTAACCCAAGACCTCTGTCTGTCTAGTCATTTTGGAAAATCGGTGTATGTGCTAATATACAAGTGAGTTCCCCAAAGCTCCAGGATGTCTGAATTTCAATATCTAGACCCAATTCTGAGCTCCTAGACAATTCTGAGAGATGGGAATAGGGAATCTGAGTCAAAAGGCATTTGCACTTCTAAGAGATAAAATCCCAATTTTCCTGCCTGTATGTGCTCCATCAGTGGATTGCATGTTATGGTCTAAAACTATACTTATATTGTGGTATGATATAAATTGTTTTTTCTGCCTTTTACCCCTAAACTGTGCTCTACGCCGCTAGAACATATCAGGAGGGGAGAGAACCATGGTTTTATTTTATTTGCAACAATTTTCTTCTTAATTTTTGAATGTAAAATGTTGTCCCAATTTTAATTTCATTATACAGCTACTTGATGGGACACGACCTCTATATCCCTTTGGGAGAGTTTCTTACATTTTGTTTCTTGCTTTCAGAATCCAGGCAAAATTTTGAAATATTTCAACTAGCTTCCATGTTGCACTTCTGACCAAGCTAAACTATCAACTGGATACAGAGAGCTACTCCTTTATTGCAAGACAATACCTTCCTGGATTCAGGAAATCATCTGTTTTCAGGAAAGCCTGAAATCATGTGCTTAATTGCAAGCATCTGCTTGGGACTACAGACATTAATAAGACTGAAGGACAAGTTTATGCTGTTCTGAATAGGCCTAGACCTCAGAGGACATGAAAGGAGGAAGGTGTTTCTTCTTCTGACCCTGACTGGTGGCCTGCGAGGCTTCGGAGACGTTGACAGCTAGCTGACCACTGAAGGAATTCACTCCCATCATCCCTGCATGGACGGACGTGTTAGCAAGTGCTGGGAGCTGGTTGTGATTGCGGGGAACACTGTACAGTGCTTCTGCAATATCTGCTGCTCTTTTCAGGATTATTTCCTAGACAGGGAAAGGAAAGAAAAATAAATTAAAAGGATTGGCAATTGACTTCCAACAGACACAAGAAAGCTACTTAACCAAACATGCGCTAGGTGTGACAGAGGATGGGTTGTTTCTAAGTGAGCGGGCTGAGTTCAGCCAGCTCGTTAACAATGGGAAGTTGGTACCATTTTACGATAAATGCTCGTGTTTGTGGGAAAAGGCTGGACATTTCAACCCCAGTCTGCTTTCCTGTGGATAAAAGTCCAAACCACAAAGAAACCCAGCATCCTCAGTACCACATGCTACATAGCAATGGGACCTGACCCACCCCCACCGCTCCCCCCATGTGCTGGTGACATTAGACAAGAGCCCCCACAGGTGACAAACAGCTGATTTCTGTACATCCGCCTTCTTTCCCCATTACAATTATGCATCTCCTTCCCCACTCGAGTTGTTGGCATATCCCAGAATGAAGCGTATTCAGGTTTGAGGGGGTTGATATAAATGCAATTACCTGGTTATTATGTGGCATACCATAGAGAGCCTCTACCAAATCAGCTGCTCTCTTCAATATTACTTCCTGTCAACAGAAAAAACAGAGGTGCTGCTCAGAGTTTGATCAAGGCCATGCAAGAAAAGCACTTTGTTGTGATCGGTGCATTGCTCCAGAGGCTGCTCTAGGTTCCTCTCCACTCCCCCACCAAACAGGTAACCCTTAGCGAAACAACCCTCCGCAAACACCGAGCAATGTTAAATCGCTGGTTCATCCTATTCGCACACATGCTTAATCAAGTCAAAAGGTGAGAGTTATCGTTGCTGCAAAATAAAATACATCACTCAATTGTCTCTGCCATCTGCACTATAAACCACTCATAGGTTTATTGCAGAATACAATCCTGAGGTCATTTGCTAGATTACAGCAATCAATGTCATTCAGAGCCTGTTATGAATCCCTTAGATGTGTTTATTTTGTTCTTAATTGCATTTCACAGGAATGGTGACCTTCTCAGGCAGGCCACATTCAAGGGATATCTAATCAGTCCTGTGCTACCGGTAATGTAGCGTTCAAGTTGTGCGGTTTGCATTGGGGTGTGATGGGTCAGAGCTAAAACCGTGCATGTGTGAGCGATGCAGGAGAGGAGGTTAAAAAAACAAGCACATTTAGACCACCGCAACATAAAGGCACAGACGTGTAGTGTGGAAGGACGCCTCAAAGAATCCCCTGCATGGAAGCAGGAGATAGCAGAGGTGGGGCATTGGCTCTGAATTTTGGGCATCTCTCTACCTCTCATTACTTTGCTTGTCCCTTTTCCCATCACCATATTTGTGCATCCAGGTTGTGATCTCTGTGCCCAGTTGCACTAAGTCTCCTTTCCTCCTTTCTCAAGCTCTGTTACTCCCTCTAGTATCTCCCTCTGACATCTGGGTAATGCTATTCCTCTTTGGTCTGTATTTCTGAACATGAAGAAATGCACTCTAGCAACTAGGACAGGACACTGGAAAAAAAGAGCTGCAAAATTAAGTTCAAATGCAATTTCCCTTCTTACCCTTTCAGAGCACCCAGCAGATATCTACTGGCCTGGAAAAAACCCTCTGCATAATTTCTTTAAAATAAAACAGTATATTTCTCCCTACCAGCAGCTGAGTGTTTTTTCCTACTATAGATATATGCTACCTAAGTACATATTTCTGTAAGTAGTTTACAAAAATAAATGTAGCACCAATTCTGAGGTTTTTATACTTTTGTATAAAGTTAAAAAAGTTTAACTTAAAATATTTTACAGAATAGTGATATTTTATACCAAAAAGAAGCAGTAATGCTCAATTTTCATATACTGTAGACTCTGATCAGAAAATAGAGATATAATTGCATTCATTTTGCTGTCACCATAACCTCTTCAAAAATCCTCGAACAACTCTTCACATGACAAGCTTTTAGATGCATATTAGCATTTTTTTCAATTTTAAATTCTCCATAATATAAGATAAAATAGTTGTCATACTGCAGTAACTACTTATGACATATATAATGTCCTAAATTCAAAAATGAGATAGAGGATTTTTGTACTCCCAGTAAACATTTAGGCTTGCCTTAAGCTGCTCTCCACCCCTCTTTCAGAACACACATTTCAATTATTTTCCACACATGATGCAAGGTGCATTATATAATTGATGGATTTGGAATCAATACATTAAAAAATGGAAGTTAGGCAGGTACAGCATTTTCATTTCCGTGTTTTTTTGACCACAGCAGTTAATAATTTAATAGCAGATGAACTGACTATACACAGTTCCTATGCCAAATCAGGCTGTGCTGCTTTGAAAGAGCCATTTAAAAACTGCCCACTCCCAGCCCAGCCCTTTTTGCCTTCTATTAAAAATTCAAACTGAAGAAAAGGGGAAAAGATCATCTTGGCAAATTGCGTCTTTTCTAGCCTGCACTAGGTGTATTTCTAAATCAAGCATTATTGTGCAGGTGTTTGACTTTGCAAACATGGATTCATTTCATTTAAGGAAAAGTAGTCATTCTGCATATTTGACTAATTCAAAAAGCAGGGACTGGTAGAGGATCCACACATTGTTTGTCTAATATTGTTAGTTTAAAATGCCACAACCCCAAAGTATTAAAATTATTCCATCTCCCCTCACCCCACAAATCTTAATTATCTATGCAATGCTGACCTAAAATCACACTGAAGTGAGTCTGGAAGGAGACTGAAGAAAAAGCACAAGGGGGAAAAAAGCCCATAAAGCTGCTACAAACAATCTGAAAACATATTCCTATTTTTAAGGGATTGCAGATTATTGGATACCTTACCTTATCATACTTCATGCAAATAAAATTAATTTTCCATTGTGGAATAGATTGAAAAGTCCCATTAAACATTTCCAGCTAGTCACCGGTTATATTTTTTAACATTTCCAGAGCCTGTAAACTGGAGTTTTGTGCTTTCTTAAACAACATGCTCCCACAATAAAAGCTTTTCCTTGTTTATGACATTTTCAGATCACACAGGGTGCGCATTACACAAAAACTCTTTTTTCAGGTACTGTTATCTTTCCTTCCAGAGCTGGCGGTAGCTTTTATGGCAACGCACCAGCCTTAAAAATGCACAATAAAATGCTGTGATGTCTACTTCTAAATACATTAACTTTTTAATGCAATTTAAACTTTTGCAGCTTCACTTAAATTACTGCGGGAGCGGTAGTTATTACTCCAACAACAGAGGAGCCCCCAAAGTCCTCTATAAGTTAGAGCAGCAGACCTTGCAAGGTGCTTGGATTGCGGTGACCAGAAAATTGTTCTCACCTCCATGTCATTACGCTCCCAGTGAACCAGCCCCCGAGCATGTTTGTGTTCGGGATCTAATATATTGCCTTTCAATCAGAGCTGAGAGCCACTGAACACATAGACAGAACATGACGAGCAGGTCAGGAAAGCAATAAAGATTTTACAGAGCTGTCCAAGGTGCTAAATTTACTCAATAATGGGTTTGGCACCATAGTGTTAACCTCTCATTTACTACCAGTTTGAGGGACTAAATTGAAGTAGCTGACTTCATTTACCTTGAAATGTATATTTTATGACATTATGTAAGTAGATTGAAAGGGCACTGCAGTTTTAACAATTTAAAGGCTAAAGCATGTTTAAGATGAAGCTTGAATATTTATTGTATATTGCACTTAAAGTATATAGTATATTAAAATGCATTGATTAAATTTGTAAAAGGTATTATAAAAAAGGACAGCTAATATAAAAGATCTATGTCTTTTAAAATCCAGTTGATACTGTATGGTACTATCACGGTGGTGATAGACAGACGGCCGGACGCTGAAAGGCGAGTAAGATTGGCAGGCTATAAAAAGAAATGCCAGGAGCTGCTGTCCCATATACTTTTTTGTTCCCTGAAATTTCTTCTTTGCTTCCATTTTAGGAATGTAGATTATCACAGCACAAAGTGGCCGTCATATAAAGGTTCTTCCATTTGAATACGCAAGCCCAAATATTTCTGGAGAGTTTGACTAAACTTAATATCTAATTTATGAGGCATTTGTCAGAAAAGATTCACTCTTTTATTATGTCGAAAATCTCCCTACTCTGGGTGCACAGTAAAAGAACATGCAGCAATTAGCCTGTGCTAATATAAGGATTTCCTTGCCTTGTATTTTCTTGGGGGGGGGGGGGGG